TTCATAATTTTGTTGCATTAGGTGCATATTGTGTCACAGAAGGAAAATGTAATCTGTTTTATTCAGGTTAGGCACTGCCTGCCTTGCCTGCCTTGCCTACCTAGACGGCACTTCCCTGACACATACAAGCGCCCCCCCCCGCGCACACACACACACACAAATAATAATAATAATAATAATAATCAATAACACACGTTTAGCAGATATACAAAAATAGAGAGGAGCGTAAGGCAAGGATGAGTCTTCTCACCGGACTTATTCAACTTGTACAGCGAGGCAATTCCGAGAGAACTGGAAATCCTACCGGGATTCATCATTGGCATCCACAATCTTAACAACATAAGATATGCAGATGACACAGTGCCCGATAGCACACACGGAAAAGAAATTAAAAAACCGAAGGAGAGCGCGAAGAAGGGACTAAGCATAAACTACAAGAAGACAGAATGCATGGTCATCAGTAAAAATATGAGCCCGAAATGCGATTTACAGGTCGGGGACATTAAAATCAAGCAGGTTTGGAAATTCAGACATCTGACCAAGTGTTCTGACAGAGGACGCTAAGTGTGACGCTGATATCCGAAGACGTATTGGGATGGCCAAAGACGCATTCCAAAAGCTAAGCAGAGTATTATGAGACAGGAGGATTTCTTTGGTAACAAAGAAAAGAATACTGAACTGCTACGTGATATCTGTCCCCCTTTACGGCAGAGAATGTTGGATGATCTCAAAGATGAAGACTCGAGGCAACGGAGGTATGGTTCTACAGAAGGATCCTAAGGATACCATGGACTGAACATGTGAGCAACCATGAGGTTTTGGAGAAGATGCAAAACAAGGAGCAAGCTTATACTTAACATCAGAAAGAGGCAGCTGAAATTTCTGGGAGACGTAATGAGAAAGAAAAGCTTGGAGAATCTGATACTCACAGGGTGGATAGAGGGAAAGAGAGACAAGGGAAAGGAACACGTGACATACATAGCTGGCTTAAGCAAGTGGATGACAGAACAGGGTCTGAGAGAAGTAGCAAAAGGACAAAGCATATAAGGGATAGGGAGAAGTGGAGGGCCATGATCGTCTACGTCCTGAAGAGATACGGCACATAAAAGAACAGCTATCGAAATAATTAAAATTAACTGAATTTAACATCTTTCAAGACGATTAGAAGTTTTATCAAGTTCTACATAAAGAACAAAAGCGAAACTTTCATGTCGGTCGAAAGAGAAGACATTTAAAAGTTTATTAATTTATTGGTTGATAACTGATTATATATATATATATATATATATATATATATATATATATATATATATATATATATATATATGTGTGTGTGTGTGTGTGTGTGTGTGTGTCTTCTGAGGCAAAAATATGAGCTAGCCGACAGGATTCGAACCTGTGTTCCCTTAAGGGAAAACGCCATTTTATCTGATACTAGCAGTAGAGCCCGGCGTTGCCTGGGGATATAACAGTAAGAGATAGATCAAGTATCCACCATCATAAAGATTGAAAAATTAAATTGACAAAGATTATTGTTTAAGGTTGACGGACACGCATGTCTTAATTATTATTATTATTATTTTTTTTTTTTTTACGAATTGGTCAAACCCAAATTCAAACAAAAACATTGTTTTCAATCGTTATGAGTCTATCGATTGAATAGAATTTTATTATTAACAATTGTCTTGTAAATGGAATTTTTAAAGCATTCTGAATGTAAAAATAAAGAAAAAAGTCTGCAAGACAATAAGAAACACTACATGCCAAAAAAAAAAAAAAAGTGAAGTTTTGTTTTATCGGTTGAAAAATATAGGAAATCCGCTCTCATATTTAAAGGAACCCACACACACACAAACAACCCGATGTGAGTTGTCCCCCTTCCATTTTCACGATGTCTCTTAATCGTGTTTTCAAATTGATTTTGTGCAAAAACAATTATATTTTTCCTATTTTTGGCGCTGTTAGAACCACAAGGTAATTTTATGTAGTCCTGTGAAGTTTTTGTTGAAAAATGTAGGAAATCCGATCCAATATATAAACGTTACACACACACACACACACACACACACACACACACACACACACACACACACACACACACACACACACACACACACACAATCTGCGTTTTATAATAATTAAGATACTTTGACCTCTCGGCTACACAGTACGTCGATTTATTAAAAATCCTTCCCCTTTCTTATATATATATATATATATATATATATATATATATATGTATGTGTGTGTGTGTGTGTTGTTTTCCCCGATTTCGATATTTCTTGTTAATGACGATTCTTCAAAAGGTTATGTTTTATAAATCATTAAATTAAATGTTAATGTAATGATTTAAATTAATTTAATAATTAAAGATTTAATTAATTAAATGTTTAATTGAAAAAAAAACACAACTCCTTGAAGAATGGTCATTACCTGGAATCTTTGTGGTCGGGGAAAACAACAACAAAACAACAAAAAACAATTGATATTAAAGTTAAGTAATCTTTTTATATAATATTATTAATGATCTATTTTTATATTATTTTAATATTTTTAATATTGAGCACTATATATAAAAATATTTTGTCGAATATTCTCTACTCTTACTACATAGAACAGTACACCATCCATAAATAACCCTAACCTCTCTCACCCTCATGCTTGTAGAGTTGATGAGGTCTCCTACATACAGACATTCACACAAATATATACACATCACACAAACTTAAAAAAAAACAACTAAAATATAACACACACATAATACACACATTCCCTTCCCAGCAACTACTAAAGCTGTGAAAATGACTAAGGACGGAAATCTGAGACTTATGAGTCCTCGAATCTCTATTTAAATGACTTGAAAAAGTCTTTTGACCAATACAAGGAGTGACCAATAATGAATTTTAAAAATAACAAATGAAAACTACAAGAAAAGTTCACCTTCTTCAGAGACAGTCATTTACCCGTGTAGTTCAATGCTATTAACAAGAAGTAATTTTTTTCTGATGAGGTTAGCCATTGCTGGCCGAAACCTGTCAAGGAATCTAATTTAAAAAATAAAACAAAAAGTATTAATATGAAACGCAGTGTGTCTAAATCTTTAATTTTCAACATTTTTTATTCTTCACGACTTAAACCAGAAATCCGAAGTCTAAAGTCCTTGCTTACGTATCGGAAAATTTTCGACATTTTTTATTGTTCAAAACATATATATATATATATATATATATATATATATATATATATATATATATATATATATATATATATATATATATATATATATATATATATATATATATATATATATACTATATATATACCAAATTATTATCGAGATAACATTTTTTCTAATATTTCAAAAATCAATTCACACAAATTTTCACACAATGTTGGCAATGCTAACCTGCGCAATCACTGAAATTTTTGTACTGATCTGCGCAATGTAAACAAACTGGCGCCATATTTGTTATCAGCACGGTGATTTGAGCGTGCCAAATTATTAGAAAGGTTTAGTAAAATTCCCAGAATTGAGGAAACAAAACGTTTATTAATGTTGCACGTGAATGTTTATGATCAAAAGAAGCTAATAAATAAAATAATCAAGCAAATAATAACATATACAAACAAAGGCACAGTTTTAAACAAATTAATAGGGAATGTGCTTTCCCTGTTTTGAAATTACTTGAGGAAGTCCACGATCCATAGAAATTGTTAATTGTAGGATGTCATCTGCCGCGAGATATGTCAAGAATTGCTTCCCACAACTCAGCATTGCTCCTGAATTGTCGTCCGTTGGCGTACAGTCTTCGATTCATGATGCTCCAAAGGTTTTCGATTGGGTTAAAATCCCAACAATTTGCTGGCCACTTCATTTTTTGAGGTCCATCGAAGCCTAACTGTTCCTTGTGAGCAGCATGTGAGGGATCATTATCTTGCATAAAAACAGTGGCCCTTCTGAAGGCAACTCTTTGCCTTTTCATCCACGGCTCAAGATACTCCTTCATAAATGCTATGTATGCATCAGCAGTCATTTTGACGCCATCTGGTACTCTCCTTTTCCAATAATACCACCCCAGATCATTATGCCTCCACTGCCTTGTTGGCGTCTCAGACGCTGATGGCGATTCTGTCCGTTCATTACCCAGTCCTTGCACCATCTATCTGGCCCATCAAGTGTTGCTCGAGTTTCGTCTGTGAACAAAACTTTAGAGAAGTCAATCTTCATATTGTCCTCGGCCCATTTCCATCGATTTTGAATGTGATTTCTCGTCAACAGAGGTTTCGATACAGGTTTGACTGTTGTTGGTATTTCCCTCAGATACCGACACCGAGTACTTTTAGACACAGTAGGATCCCCAATGCGACTGAAAAGCTCTTGATTGGTAAGTCCAGGGTTCTTCGTGGCCTGTCAATTAAGTCGTGACATGAGACGACGTGAAATAACCCTCGGCTTGCCTTTATCTGCCCTATTGCATACTTGTGTAGGGTCGGTGGTGAACTTTTTCACTGTTTGATGACAACTCCCTATCATTTTAGAAATTTCTAGGGTAGATTTACCTTTTGAGAGTTCTGAGATGATAATTTTCTTTTCAGCATCACTTAAACTGCTTTTACGGCCCATCATTTCACTAAATTCTTAGACTTTTCTAATAATTTGGCACGCGCAAATCACCGTGCTGATAACAAATATGGCGCCAGTTTGTTTACATTGCGCAGATCAGTACAAAAATTTCAGAAATTGCGTAGGTTTGTGTTGCCAACATTGGGTGAAAATTTTATGTGAATTGATTGGAGGGTTTTTGAAATATTAGAAAAAAAGTAATCTCGATAATAATTTGGCACGCAGTGTATATATGTAAATTAGCGATTATTACATTTCCTGATCCCCAAAACCTTTTAAACAAGAAATCCGAAGCCTTAAGTCCTTGCTTACATATCAGAATTTTTTTCTGCATATGAGGCTGGATAAAAAGTATTTTAACATCCCCCCCAATACAATGCATTTGCTTTTCTTTTCTTCTTCTTCTTCTTCTTCTTCTTCTTCTTCTTCTTCTTCTTCTTCCCATCCTTTACCCACTTTTCTATTACGCGCAACGTCGAGCGCTTGTTTATATGTGTTACGTAGTCATTTGATAAAAATCGCTTGAGAATCCCGTAAAGTTGAAACACAGGTAGCGGATCCAACTGACCTCCTTATTTTTTAAGTATATATATATATATATATATATATATATATATATATATATATATATATATATTATCTATTCTAGACATCTATCCTTCTCAAGCTAGCTAGGTAGATAGGTAGTGAGTCCATATTGTAAATATCTATGTATCTATCTATCGATCTAGCTGAGTTCATTCGTAATATAACTGTCTATCGACCTTACTAGTTACATCTCCAGATATTTTTCTTGATATATATATATATATATATATATATATATATATATATATATATATATTATATATATATATAAATTATCTATTCATTTTATGTGGCTATATGTATATACACATATATACATACATATATATATATATATATATATATATATATATATATATATATATATATATATATATATTTATATATATTTAAATTATCTATCCATTTTATGTGGCTCTATGTATATACACATATATATATATATATATATATATATATATATATATATATATATATATATATATATATATATATATATTATATATATTTTATTTAAATTTTGTCTTTAAACTCCAATTTGTATTCTTTTACCCATGAAAAGACGCTAGAAATCAAATTTTGTGGCTCTATGTATATACATATATACATATATATATATATATATATATATATATATATATATATATATATATCCATTTATATATATTTAAATTATCTATCCATTTTATGTGGCTCTATGTATATACACATATATACATATTATATATATATATATATATATATATATATATATAAAGATATAGCAGTTGAAGCATATATATATATATATATATATATATATATATATATATATATATATATATAGAGAGAGAGAGAGAGAGAGAGAGAGAGAGAGAAAGAAAAAGAGATTTTAGTTTCAAGGATGTTTGTAAGTGGGACTTTAAACTCACGGTAATTCAAAAGAATGTATTCTTTACCCCGTGAAAAGACGCTAGAAATCCCATACTAATATTTGGCCCACAAGAAAACAAGATTTTTAACCAAAATTTCGAACGTGCGGGAAAGGATTAAAAAAATTATAAAATGATCAAAAGATACTTTGGTCTTTCCTCTTAATAATAACAAAAATTTTGACGATGTCACTTTGTTTTATCAAGTTTGGGTCCCTTTTTTCATCATGTTATGCTCTTTTTAGAAAATTTTTGGGAGGTACCTATATATATATATATATATATATATATATATATATATATATATATATATATATAATGGCCTGACACTCGTTTTCTGAGCTCAGTCGTCTGACAACATCCAGTTCTTGATAGTAACTGAGATAGTCGAAAGTACTGAACAAAACTGAAAAATGAACTTTGAACAGTTGATTTATAAATTTATTTGCCTGAGGCGGTGATCCCAGCCTGGGGAAATCCCGTGAAAACTGATCCAAGCCTTGTGAGTTAAAGTGGGTAGATAGCAGCGTTTTTTTTTTTTTATCACAAAGTCAAAATTCATCTTGACCGATGATTTTATCATAGTGATCTTGGTCGAAATGTTGATAACGCCAGATTATACGATTCTCTCACAGACACAGTAACTAAAATCCACTCAGTATAGTTGCAGCATAAATGTAAGTTCGCGGGGTGTTGAAAAAAAAAAACACAAATATGCCTGAGCAGGCGTCTGCAACATGAATTAGTTACCTACCCTAGAAGACGTGTGTGTACTCGGTAACAAGTAGCCGACCTTTATTATTATTTATTTATTGATTGATTATTCCGAACCAATATTTTTAACGAATCCGTTCCTCCTCTGAAGCGTTACGAAGTATTCCTTTTTATCCAGATGTCAGTATTTCGGATTTGAAGCGGGGAGAGAATGAATCTTTTACGTGAAAGCCTCGTCTACCTGCCTTTGAAATCAGTATTCAAGATTTTGGCTTCTAATCTTTTTTAAATTTGGAATAAAACATCGACATCTGGAAGAAGACGGGAAATAGGCAACTACTAGACTACCCATAAATCTATTGGTTTCTTTTTAAAAGCAGTTTATGGTACAATATGATGCACGCATTTATTTATTTACCATCAACTCATGTGACACGTATAGCCTCTTCACCTTCAAAGTAATTGTTTGTAAAAAAAATGTCCTAACGTAGTATTGAGAATTGTATAAATATACTAGCCGAGGTACCCGGCGTTGCCTCGGTGTACATGGCTGCAATTGTATAAACGCACCCACTGTATACCCGCAACCCTTTTCCAGAAATGTCTGCCTGCGTCCCCACTTTTATGCATCATTCGTTGGTACACTAAATTACTCCCCTCATCTTTTTTACGGTATGCCCTTCGCAAGTGTTTGATTGTTCTTCATAAAGGAATTCCCTTGTGAAAACCTTTTGTTGTCGTTGTTCGGGGAAGCGAGCAGGACTAAAACCACGCTGTCTTATTTCTTGCACGATAGCAATTTTTTTGCGACGTGTTTGAAGAAACTCGGATAAAAAATAAGAAAGTTATTCAACTTTCTGTTTTAAGTAGTACGAAAAAAAAAAACGATTTTTTCCCAGTTTTTGAAATATTTTGTGTGAATCAAATGTTATAGGAAGCACTCTACATAAACGTCGTAACATAAGCTATGTTTTGCATTAAACGCAAAGAACATAAACTCATCCAGTAAAAATTTTGTTCGCTTGTAACTTTGCCTGGTCTTTTCAAAAAGTCGTACCCACCTCCAGTTTTAACGATTTTTTTTGAAAAGTAGGTTGTGACCTATATTCATAAATTTGCAATATGTGTGCATAATTTAATCGAAATCTGTCGAGAAATGTGGACTTGCATAAATAGCATACACACACAGACACACACACAGACATTGTCTGTCTTATAGATATTGTGCATGACTATATAAATTTATTTAATAATGTTGTGATAATGTATTATGAATGTTTATTATTTTTCACAGACATAATTGTTGGAATATGTATGCAAATGCTTGTTTATATTTGTGGATTGATATATGAAGGTGTATTGCAAAGAAATACTAAATTTCCTATTAAAAATGCCGTAAAATCATAAAAACGGACCAATCACAAGAACTCCTTGTCTAATTTTAATTGCCAGCAGTTCAAGGTACAATAAGCTCCTAAATTGGTTGGGGTATCATGTATAGTTTGAACTTTATCTCGGGAACACACATACATACGTACAATATTAGCTTTTTTTTATTAGCATTATATGGATTTCCACCATGAAGTAGGTTACTTTGGGAGATTGGATACAAGAAAGTTTTAGTCTTTATGTCTTTTTACTCTGGGAAAAATTCGAACTATGATTCACAGATGAAAGAAGTGAAATTAATGATTCTGTCGGAGCAGCTGTCAAGGTTTTCTGTTAATATGCTGTTATCCGAGCCCTCTATTTGGTTTCGTTTGTTTTGTTTTACGGCATATCAAGCTCAATGGATTATTTAATGCCAACAAGATTTTTATTGCTGGTAATATTTTTTCCAAAATGTATTGCTGATAATATTTTTCTTCAAAATCTAATGCTGGTAATATTTTTTTTTTCCAAAAATGTATAGCTGGTAATATTTTCTTTTTCTAAAAATGTATTATTGTTAATAATGTATTGCTGGTAATAATGTTTTTCTTCAAAAATCCATTGCTGGTAATAATATTTTACAAAAATGTATTGCTGGTATTAAAACCTATTTTTACTCTTTCATAGTGTTTTGACCCTATTTTATCCATAGCTGGGACCCTAACAGGTGCTACCACCCGACGCAGTGTAGACCTGGGAACACCAACAATTTAGAGGTGGTTCCACGCTCCTCAAAACCTCCTGATCAGAGGCCTTGCTGCTGGATGTAGTTTGTCGTTTTACCTAGGACGCCCGAAATTTAGTGATTAATTTGATTACAAATGAATCAGCAGCAACAACGACAATTAGATTTATATGGAGAATCGAAAAGGAAGAAAAATCATAGTCAGATACAAGAAAATCTTCAACAAGATTTAAGACAGCTCTCAAGAGATTTCAACATCTCAAATTAAAATGGAATAGATTAGCGGGAAAACAGATATTTTCCGTATTTGGTGGCACTGAAATTGAATTATTTATCATGAACTAGCAGCATGGCCCGGCCTTGCCCGTGCTTGATTCAAAAATTTTCGACTCATACAGCAATCGCTATCACTTGAGTTAAAATATTTTTGCCCTTCCTTGCCTTTAAAGGAGTACCCTTTGCCGTGCTGATGTTGCTACATGCCTTACTTCTTGCCTATCTCACACTGCGCTTTTTTTCTAAGCTCTATACGAAACATTAAATCTGTTACGAAAAAAGAACTAAACAAAATGAACACAAAACGATCAGCTTTAAAAAAAGACTCGTAACTGGAAAAATCGAATGAAAAAGAATGTTAACAACAAATACATTTTCACACCCAACTCAGTTCTGCGGAATCAGAATCAACGTTGAGTTTAAGCAAGCGAATGAGCCAACTGAGGTAAAGTGCCATGTAGATTTAAATTTTTCCCACTTGTGACGAATGCAGCTATCGATTTTTTTTGCATGCTAGCATGCTAGTTAACATTCGTGTCAGTCAGCTGTTGGTTCTCACGCTGGCCAATAGAATCTTCCTGCCTATTCGTGGCAGCCAGCTACAGGCTCTCACTCTGGCCAGTAGAAAATGGCCGTAAACTACATGAAAACCGCCGTAGAAGCATGAAAAAATCGATTAGCCTTCCCGCTAACTTGAAGCATGTGCATGTAAAGTTTTGGTGCAAATCCGTCGAAAATTGCGGCTGTGTATTCGTTACACACACACACACACACACACACACACACACACACACACACACACACACACACACACACACACACACACATCCTGCCTTTTATAGATAGAGATTACTGAGACGTAGGAAATGTTTGGTGGCACTGAAATTATTTATTATGAATTACTGAGACATAGTAAGTATTATTTTCAGTAATGGTGGCACTGAAATTATTTATTATGAATTACTGAGATATAGTGATATTGAAATTCCTTATTATCAATTACCGATACATGTATAAAATAACATTGCAAATCGCTTCAATGGAGAAACTATATCGTTTGAATGACGTCTTAGAATCCAAAAGAAGTTTTCCTAGTTAAGGAAGTAGACCGGTTATTTTGAAATATGACAATCTCTGTTCTCAAGTTTCAAAGATAAAAAAAATGATTATAAAACTGTTATTGAAAGTTCTTCCACATTCGATGTTTTCGACGATATCATTGCTTTCGAAATTGTATTCTGCCTCGAAGACTTTTAAAAAAAAATTCTAAAATGCTTTTTGTTCAAGTAATAGCCAGAGGAATCATTGCTTAACTTCGGATCGCATCAGTGAATATAAATCTCCAGATATCACATTCGTAAGGAGAATAATATTCAGAAATTAAAATGAAAAAAAAAAAAAATCTGTAATCAAGCCAATATCTGAACAAATCGAAAGTGAATGATTACATCCTAAAATGACTCGTCATTCAATGATAAAAGGTTTGTAAAGTTTAGGGTTAAACAGTGATTTGTGAAATAACGGCTTCCGCTAATTGTAGGGCAGTAATTAAATCGTGCTTTAGATTCACTTAATTAACGATTGGCCATTATTGGCACGCACAACTCGACAATTCTCCAGGAACTGATTGCACAATCAAGTGTCACCTGTGTTTAATTAATAAGATTTTATAAATCGATATTTGGTTGTTTCTTTCTTTGTCTACTGAGTTAAGTTAACGGCGGGTTTTAATATTATCATTATTGTTGTTGTTGTTGTTATTATTATTATTATTTACTTATTGATTATTCTGCGTCAATATTTTAACCTATTCCTCACTCTTCTTGTAATCTTTCACTGTTTTTTACATCGTCACCTTTTTAGTCATATTAATTTTCATCATTTTTTTTACTCGTTGTTCATCTTCGTATTTTTCGCCATTAACGCCTTCCTCACAGATTTCTTCACTTTTTTCTTCTCTTTATTTTCTAATTCTTTTAGTATTTCATATTTTTTCCCCAATTTTTCTGTCTTATTCCCCTTCATTTTTTTTTAATTTGCCTCTTTATGTTTTGTTTCGTCTTTCTTCTTCACTTTCCTTTCGGTTTTCGACTCTCCCTTTTTTTTCTGCATTTTTCCTTCATTATTTTAAAGCATGTTCATATCTTACATCGTTATCAATATCCCTTTATTTTATATTTTTCCTTGTCTTTTTTTTTTTGCTTTTTCTTTCCTTAGCTTCAAGCCCTCCTTCTGTTGAATTTCTTTCTTTGATTGGTTCGTTATCTTTCCTCAATGTTTTTCTTTTCACTCTTCTCATCTAACTGACTTTCTCTTTTTCCTCCCCCAAATCCCGATTACGTTTTGCCTGTCCATTGTTATTGTTATTTGATTAACTCCACAACAACAATTAATTATTAATAACTATTATTATTGTTATAGTTGTTTTTCATGATGATGCAATAGTTATCCGAAATAAATTCAGCGAATTCCCCAAGGTACCTTGCTCCTTATCAATAACTACCACAACCACTTCCATTATTCTTCTAATTATCACCGGGTTCATTGACATTTTCATTATTATTAACATCAGTTCAAAATTTGTGGTAGACTATAAAAATAAACCAAATTTTCAAAATGTTACGCATCATTATATACATTTATCGCTCTGATTTTCAAATATACGTACATACTCATATTAGGTATGTAGGGATAAAATCCATGACATTCATATAATTTGCATATATATATATTTCTTCATATATATATATATATATATATATATATATATATATATGAAGAAATATATATATATATATATGTATGAAGAAATATAGTTTTAAGGTGTGCTATATTTATGGGATAAAGTGCTCAATATCAAAGATAGAGCGTAGGTAAATATAAAAATGAACAATGAAGTCAACACTCAGTGTCGAAATACTGTTTCATGCTCGACGCATATTCGGTTTCCTGACTTATGACGATCTGAGTATTTTGATTGATTCAATTATGAAAGTTTGTCGCGATAATCTTAAGATTAATCTTATTTATATAATATATATAATTATTTATTTAAGAATATGAAAGAGGCCACATAAGGAGCTCAGTTTGAAAATTGTGAGATGAAAACTCAATATAATTATTTGAATTAAATGGAATTTTTATATCTCTGTCCCATCTTGAAGATGATTTTTTGAAAACAGATTGAAATTTACTGAGTTTTAAACACGTTCATTATTTAAATCTAAAATTTCAAAGTAACGCTCTAGAGCGATTGTTTAAATTGACTGGGTGACAAGGTGTTTTAAGCTTGTCTCAGTATAAAGTTACATTCATGGATGTCAAGTCCTAAATTCCTGTAGTCCTGACCTAAAACGGAAGATGATTTAGATCTTGGGTTTCCTGTCATCAGACATTTATTTATTTTTTTTTTTTATTTTTTTATGAAAAAGTTTTGATTCTATAAAAATTGCCCTGTTAAACAGGTGTTTTGACGTCCTTCTTGAAGCTTAACTTTTTTTTGTTGGGCATTTAACATTTTTTATGGAAAAAATCTATTTTATTGTTTGATTGTTTTTGTATAGAGTATTCAATGCAAAAATTTGATGATGTCAAAAAAATATTAACTATATCTATTATTTATATATATTTATATATATATATAAATTATATAATGGTAATTTTTCATGTAGGCATAAAGGGCAGTTTCGTCATCCCAAATTATATGAAAGTCTGGTTTTGTTTACAATTTTATCATTTTACTTTTTTGGTCCTATTATTTTATTTAAATGCCAAAATATTTAGATAGAAAGGGAGTCTGATTTCTTTTATTTATATTGTTGAAAGAGCACTTATCCTGGTTCCATCTGGGCTTTAAATTCATTTTCTTAGACGTGTATATCACATTTCATTAGGATTTCAATGGATGAAATATTGGTATATATGTTCCATATAGCAGGCTATTTTCCTGTAAGTTCTTCTTTAAAGGGTCAATCAAACGCTTTTTTACTTTTTGCTGTTTAAGAGTGCCGTTTTACTTAAGTCTAGTCCTTGATTGGGTTTCTGTTATCATTTTATTATTGTGTTTTTTATTAAACACGTGGCGATTTTTAGTCGTTGTAACTATCGAATATTAAGGGTGTTCTTATTAAATATTTTACTAAGACATCTAGCAGCAGGACGACTACTTTTCAATTAAAGATATAATCCTGTCCTAGCAATTCGCATTTGGTTGAACGTCGGTACTTGCCAAATAATATTCCAACAGGTGGTTTGGACGTCGAGGAGCCGTTGTGTAGCCATAGCGTTCTCCGGATCTCACGTCTATGGATTTCTTTTTCCACTATTTTGTTTAGCAAAAGATACTGTTTTGTTGGAATATTTCCCACGTTCTTTTAATGGCGTGATTCTATTTTCTATTGATGACGTTTAATTATGGATGGAGGCTGATTTGACCTTTGTGTCAGAGTATAATGAGTGTCCAATTTGACTTTTTTATAAGGTTGGAAGAAGAACATTTTAGGGATTGATATTTTTATTATTGATATGTTTGCATTTCAATTTAATACAGACTTTTATATTTAGGTTTTGATTTTTAAATTACTAAATATAATTTTGTAATTTTCTGTATTTTTAAAGTTCATAAAGTCATGGAGAGGACAACAGAAAAGAAATCCCTATACAATGCAGGTCCTTAAAGGTCTATTTCACGGTTTCGCAATTTGATTGGTACAGTAAAAAGCCACCAAAGGTCAGAAGATCTCCATGTCATCAAGAAACAACTAGATGATTTCAAAAACATGGCGTGTCAAGTTTTTTATCCATTGGTCCCTGTTCACAGTCTCGACAGTCCTTTGCACTAAGATTACGAAGACTTCTGACATGCTTTGTTGTTCTTGTTCATTCGGCTACTTTTGCATTTGTTGCGCTGTCAAAATCATATAAATCGATCCCCCATTAGGCTTGAAGGCAGATTGTGACTCTAACAGTATCGCATCTAAAATTATCAATATTGGTTCCAATGCGGAAATCTTTGGTATTGATCCACGATAATAATCCAAGCTGTTTTTTTTATTTCAATACCTTTGTAGGAATGGTGCTGAATCGCATCCTCTCCAGACCTTTAGGGTTAAACATTCTTGCTGTTCAGGGTGATTCTATAAAATCTTGTTCTTTTTTCCACTATTTTCGAAGGATTTCACACACAAACAGGCACACACACACACACACACACAGCCTTCCCAATGTTCAACTTGCTGATAAATTCTTTTACTCAGGAAAATTATTCTCATATTCCACGATAGATCTTTGCTGGAGGTCGTTAAAAGCGGATTCATCCACATGGTTATCGGCGTGGAGCATATCCGAAAAGTGTTTTTTTTTTCATCATATATCGGTTTATATATATTATATATATATATATATCATATTTATATATAGAAGTGTCACTGATGCCGTTCTTGTCCCGAAATCCAGACAAAGCAATGAACAACAATCCAGAAATTTATTATTAAAATACTGTTAAATATGGTTAATAAAAATAAAATTTGCGGTGAACAAGACAAATTAATTATCTTTCATCTCACAAAAAATCTATTTTAGGCATATTTAGCAATGCTTTTTGATTTTTACCATACGTTCAAACATATGAACACACACACACACACACACACACACACACACACACACACACACACACATATATATATATATATATATATATATATATATATATATATTATATATTTATAAAAAAATATATAACATAAGTACTGTGTAGTGTTACTGAAATCACTTCGAAAATAGCCGAATTTGTTTTACTTACGTTCTAAACCCTTGGGAAATCTTATTAATCCTGATGTTGAAGATAAAATAAATGGTTTTAAAGCAGAGCAGACTAATTTCTATCCTACATTGGGGAAACATTCTTAGGAAAGGACAACTCTGAATCAAAAACCAAGTATAGAAAGATTCAAAAGCTTGACAACGAAATCAAATGTCTGTAATAGATATCCAGATCTTTAAAATTGACCTTTATATTAAAAATACGACGGGAGAATCCATAATATATATATAAATTATATATATAAATATATAATATTAAAATTAAAAATATATGGATTTTAAAATCGAAAGTTAATGAAGAAAAATTTAAAAAAAAACAAAATTATTGAGAAAAGAAAATATATATCAACGTCCCGATGTTATTCAATTTATTTCTTCGTTGAAATTACGTTCGACAAGACAATTTACGTTCGACAAGACGCTTCAGGAATATATCCGGTCATTTGACAATATATACATACATATATATATATATATATATATATATATATATATACATAATTAAATTTTATAATTGAAATTTTTCAGGATCAGTTCAATCATTCGTGAAAAAGAGAAAATAAGTGAGGGGATGTTACGAAACCGTATTCCTAAAACAGAGATTCTGATAAGTATTGAACGTTATTATATATAATTTAATAATTTTATGTTTCTAGTTTAAAAAAAAGGAGATATTAAAGCAGAAATCTAAATTTTGATATATTTTTCTTCATATATATATATATATATATATATATATATATATATATATATTTATATATATCTGAGAGCTTATTGATTCAATTATGAAAGTTTGTGCGATAATCAAGATTAATCTTAAGAGGAATATAAGTCCCGCTAGTTTTACAAAGAGGCCATATGGAGCAAGTCAGGCCAGATGAGATCACTGTTTATTTTTGACCTTTTAGATCTTTGCTTTTCTTGAAGATATTCAGACAAGCAGATTGAAAATTGCTGGGTCCGCTAAAAACACGTTGATATTTTTACCCGCTCCAAAGCTAAGCGCTTTGTTTATTTATTTGGGTAAATTGACTGCTCGTTTTTTGCTTTTTTTATTTTTGTTTTTTTATCTTTATTTATTTATTAACGTAGTAAATTTGTTATATGACCTAACTAACTGTTTTGTTTTGGTCTTGAGAATTTCATCAAACATGACTGTTCAATTTAACTGAGATTGTTGAGTTCATTCTAACTATTATTTTTTTACACCTGTTAAACAGGTTTTTTACGTTGGGATTGTCCTGTCTTTTATTTTAACTCCACAGATTGAATTCAGACAGCAATTTATTTGTAACATCTTCTGGCGTTTGGTTTTACCTTTTTAGAGTCCACGAATATTTATTTTATTTTATTTTATTTATTTATTTATTTATTTATTTTTTTATTATATATATTTGTTTGTTTTTTATTTTATTTTTCCGACCAGTTTCATTTTTACGTTAATTATAAAAAAGTTATTTTTTATCCCTGCATTTTATCA